AAAAAATGAGTGAAAACAATCCCACGGACAATGCGACGGATTTAAGGTTATGTCAAGGTACGTCTCTTGTGAATATCAATTGATTGTTAGGTTTTCTCTTTTGAGATTACATTATGACGCATTCACATTAATACAAATACATTTTTCAGGGCGATACGATGAGGCAATCACAATCTCTTCCACTGGTTCAAGAGGTCCACGAGGGAAAAATGCACAATATTACCGTGATTACAGAGTGCGTAAGCGAGCGGAGCAGGAAAAAGAGTCGTTGAATAGAACTAGTGATCCTTCTACGACTGCTGATTCTTCTACAATTAACGTCGCAGGTTGCGAAGTTTAACTTCTTCCGCGCGGAGGGACTCCACGCACTATTTTTTTTAAGAATATTTTTTCTTTTCGCGGGGCAAAATACCTTGGAAATCTTCGTATTTTAAGAATTGTTTTTTTAAAAAAAGTACGAAGCAGATTTATTTACCGGTTGTTGCTACAAAATGTTACAGCAGGCAGCAATACTTCAGAAGGCCAACTTATTTTAGTGTAAGTAGTTGTTGGATATGTCCAATAATATGCCATAAATTCCCGCGCTTGGTAGAGGAACCCTGCCAGGCAAACTGAAAATATGGCTGATTTCCACAACTTCTTCTTCCACGTTCTCGTGCTTACGATTTGTGAAAAACCTGGGATAAGCGAGTCTGAAAAAATAGATTTTGCATATTCTTTGAAAGATTCCCCAAAAACATTTCCTTTTTCTTCATCCATAAGTGGTTCCAGGGGAATATTTTCCTAAAATTAAAAACAATCTTAGTTCAATGCAAAAATGGAATATTGATAATAAAGGAAAATGAAGAAAACAAGTTATCAAGATTAGCAATAAGAAAATACCCAAATTATGGCTACTAAGTATTGCAGAATGCATTTCCTATAGCTTCTTCCACGGTGTCACTTGAAACATCTTCGCATAATTAACATTTATCTTACCTCAATGCAAAAATCGAGTACAGTGCAAGGATTCAAATGGTACAACTTCCTTTAACTTTTTAACACTATAACTGATTGCTCTAATCCTCAAACGCTTGCAGCGGCATCTGGTGCAAATTTTTTACTAAGTTTCAAAATGTCTGTGTCAAATTTTTTGGATTTACAATAAGCATGCCGCTTATTTCATTCCTCCAATGTTATTTGTTTATGATATTTATAATTTTGAAATAAGTGAGTCCTCCACAACACACCTTATACATACTATTTTTCCCCCCAATAACTTAGCACTTTTGAGGTAAGGGCCAAAATACTATTAAAAAAAACAGGTAGCTTTAGCCTGTGCGAGTGCATATTGCTTTAGTAAAACTTACAAACTGCTACAATCTTTGAGTGTGTATGTTTGAAAGAAACTGTGAACGCCGATTATAAGATATTTATAGTTTTAGTAAGGACACTTATTTTTTAATTCGAGGAACTAACCTCGATTAACATTTAAATCAAATATAATTCAAAAGTATCATTTTCTTTTTAATTAATAGGGGGTAGGGTTAGACATAAGAACAGAGTAAATTTGCATCTTTCCTTGGAGGAGTTTTGCATTAAAAATATATGGAGGTTCGATTTAACAAAAGATACTATCTACTGCATTGATGGCCAATTTCAGTTTTGCAGGCATTTTCTAAAGAAATTTTCTCGATTTTTTAGTCATAAGGTTTTTTTTTAAATAAAAACTCATAGAACTTATATTTAAAATGGTAAATAAGTACTAAAATGGCATTCTCTTTAAGATAAAATACCATTTAAAAAAGAACTATTTTTTAGAGTTAACAAAAAGAGAGTATGCTTGTTGAAAGTATCGGTGGCAAAAATGCATTTAGCTTACAATGCTTACAACTTCTAATGTTCTTCGTATAGCTATATATATTTTTAAAATATTCCAATAAATTATTCTTTCATATTACATTTATGACAAGTTTTTTTTTTTGAATTTTTACACGAGGCGCGAAAAATAAATTTTTAAAAAAATTCCCATTTCAATCAACTAACAAGCAAACAACTAAAAACAACTACAAAGAGTAACACCCTATAGGTACAACGTATTGTAGCCCAAAATATAATATATGGTGATACAGACTACAATATAAGGTGGTATTGGTTACAACACGTGGTGGTATAGAGTACAATACATGTTGACCCAAAGTACAACATATGGCGGTTCAGGATACAATAACGTGTCTTACCTTAAAATGATTTTCGAATTTTAACAAGTTTAGGTAGTATGAATTCATTTTCAAAAAATAATTATGTACAAACGTATAATATCATTCCCTGTATATTTTTGAAGCTGTTTGACTCATTACTTTCTGTATAAAAAATAAAACATTAAAATAATAACACTCTCCCCCATAAAATTTCATTCAATTCTTATTCAAATTATCATTTTTATTTTTTATTATTACAAAGCATGATGTGAATAACCTTATGAAAGTAATCTACTTACCTTTGTAGCAATTCCATTCTTGTTTGCAAAACTTGCTGATTTATCAATCATTTCTTTTTCAAATTCAATTATCATAACTGCAATTAGACAAAGGCTCTTTTTAATTGCATTAAAAGACGAATTATACTAACATACAAATGATGTATAAATATTGTAACGAATTTATAAGCAATCTTTAAATTTATGAGGAACAGTATTATAATGTAGTTTATAAAAGAGCAACTCACATTTGTATTTGTATCGATTCAAATAATGCTGTTTTGTTTAAAAACAAGTAATATTTTCATAATTAGGTGCATATTAAGTTCTTTTATTCATTTCACGTATGCTGTTGGATCTTATCGAAAATGAGGAATCATTATAAATAAAATATTATAGATTGGGTGCTCCGTAATCATCATCAGAAGTCGGTATAACTTTGTTCAAAACGTGAAAAAAATATATTCAATTGTAGTGTTAGCTTTATGCGAGAATTAAGTTTCAGAAAAGAAAAATTTGATACTTAGATTTCAGATTTATAAAGTAAAAACATATAAGGGGAGTGAAATTATGATAGTTTAAAATTTTGTCTTGTGCATTCTTAAAGTGTTAAAATAAAATAAGATTTATTTAGAAAAGAAATTTTATACCTTGAGAAGATAAGATCTTTTCATTTTTCTCATTATTTGCATTAATTTTATGTCCATCTGCTTGTTCGAAAAATATTAATCGAGCTGTTTAATTAAACCGGTTTTGTTATGGTAAGTGCCTTAAACAGACCATTTATTGTATATGTTAGCATTGTTGAATCGATATTTTATTGAGATACATTATAGTATAGCATGGCAATATGCTCAAAACGCTTTTGTTTCAAATGTCCTACCAAGTACCATTTCGTGTTGCTAATCTGAATTGAACAAATATGTCAATGTATAATAAATTGTCAATATTTTAATCAGATTAATTATAGTATTGCTTTGAACGTCCTTGTAAAGTAGAAAAAAAGGCTTTCAATTTTGTGCTTATTTACATTTAGTTCTTCTTTTGTGTGTTCAATGAGTTCTAAACCTATTTCTTTGGGAAAAAAACAGTCATAAAATCGAAAAGTTAATTGGCTTACTGATGAAAACATGTAGGAAAATACTGGACTAATAAATCGGTAAAAAGTAATTAAAATTTGGACGTGTTTTAAGCTTAAATTAAAATAAAAAAATATATTCCAATATTGAACTTCGCTTTTTTATTGTATTCATTTTTCATTTGTTAAAATATAGTTCAAGTTTTGTTATTAAACTGTAATTTTTTAATTTCAATACACCTCTTTTGAAACGTCTAGTGAACATTTTATCTTGGATGCTAATTGTATATATCAGTGTTTCTCAAAGTGTGGTACGCGTACCCCCAGGGGTATGGGAACAGTTTAGCGGGGGTACGCGTTCTTATGCAAAATATCTCGCAATACACGAAAATTTCAAAAATTTTTATTTAAAAACGAAGCTAGTCATGAAAATTTTCGATTACGTAATTTTCTATTGGCTATTTTTTGCAGAGTTATCAGTTAATAATTACTGGTGTCAACAGCCAGTTGTAATTTTTAACTTTTGCGCAATTTTTTATAGTAAAAAATACATTATTTTTTTATTAGTGGTACACAGCTTTACGAAAAATCTATAAAGGGTACACAAAAGTCATAAGTTTGGGAAACACTGGTATACATCATCATCATGTTAACTTTTTTTCTTAGATAACAGTTGTATCACGAAATTTGATGTTTGCTACAATTTTAATTAACGTGGATTATTAGATTGTTTTTCAATTTCGAACTACTGTAATATTTAAACACAAGACATACTTTTTCAAAAGCATTGATTAGTTAGAAAATTTAAAAAGATAAAACTTAGACAGTAACTTAATATTAAGGTCTAATTTAACTGGTATATTTGAATTTACAGTCATACTGTTTAAATTACAATCAGTTTTAAACGATTTCATTGTAATGATTTGAATATATAAAGTGAAATAAACGTACCTTACAACTTAGTTTACTTAGTTAGTGTACTATTGATTGATTATTGCATACCATGATCGACAAGAGTATTGTAAAAGGCCAAATTTACTGTAAAAAAACTTGTTTTAATTTTTTCTTTAAAATGTCAGTCAATAGTTTTACAGCTCATTGTTGCAGACAAAAATTGTGTGTATAATTATTTTTAGCATAACAATCGTTTTTAAATAGCATTTTACTGCAGATAGTGGCACAAAAAAATCAATATTTCTAATAAACACCCAAACAAATCATTAAAAATATCTTATAAGAAATAAATTTGTTTCAGAAAACCATTAGTATATTTTTAAATAATCACATTGAATAAATTATAGAAAAAAATAAAACGATAACTCTATATAAATTCTTTGAATTATGGAATTAAAAAAAAACATTCTTGTGTTTTTTGGAGAAACAAAAACTAAAGTCTTTATACTGTTATTATTCATATGAAAATAAATTTTATTATTACCACATAAAAGCATAATATACAAATGAATTATCTGTACGTTATTTTTAATCTAAATCAAAATGATTCAGCATTTGTCAACTTTTGTTTAGTTTGATTCTTAACTATTGCATTGAAATTAACTTTTCTTGTTAAAAATTATTTCTTTTGCAATAAAAAAATAACATGCTGTTTAGAGAAATAAATAAGTTCAGAAATAAAAAACCCAAAAGCATTTATTATCCAATATTATTGCAAATGCTTGTTACAATACAAAATCAATAACTTAAATGCATAAAATATCGATGATTTAAAGTTTTGTTTAAATAAGAAAATTAAACAAACTGTTGGTGATTTGCACCTCAGCGCACATTTCAAAGTCAATAATTTTAATTAATCTAACAATGAAAATTGGGGTTTGAAAAGAAATTTGCAATTTGGACACAACAAAAAATAACATTACGAACATGAAACGATTTTTGTTAAAACAGATATATTAGATAAAACATTATAGGAAAAAATTATATTTTAAAAATATTTTTCCATCCTGAAAAAGAGCATAGTGTTATTTTAGATTCAAGGTTGATTATTCTAATTCGTATTATATCCATTCCAGATTCAGGTTAAGAAAATATGCTAGTCATTTAAAATGTTAACTATTTAATATTTAAGTATAAAATGTTAAGTATTTAATTCTTAAGTATAAAAAGTATTATTAGTTAGATAAATTTATTTAATATCTAGGCGTTTAGAACTAAAATCTCGTATTTTATATTTATTGTTTTAATTGGAATATTTTATAAGAAATTGATATACGTGTACCGTGTCTGAACGATATTTCCGTGTCTGAAAATATGTCAAATTGATTTGAAAATATATCAAATTTTAAGTTTTAAAATGTAAATAAGCTTTTTGCATTTCTTTTGCCCTTTGGTATCTTTTGCTGTTTGGTATATTTCGCAATTTTTTAAAATTATAATTTGGTGTTATTTAAGCTTTGCAATGTTCTTTATATTATTATTATTACTTTTTAGTGAAAACTCCCTTGGATAAAACATGATTAGAAAATCAAGTATTAGCCCAGTAAACAATTTTGCAGCTACAAAAGTAAGTAAGTTCCCATCGCAGTGGTGTAAAATCTATTATAATCATTTCCCCCTTTCTCTGTCTCTCTGCATATATATATATATATATATATATAGATTGGATTATATTATATATATCCATATATATAATATAATTCAAAATAAACATGTTTGATCGTGTATTCAACAGGCATTAGTTGCCCGGTTACTGCTGGTTAACAATACAGTCATCATTTTTATTCTGATATATTTATACATCTCTCAAATATTCTCTCCCTTTCAACAACAAATACTGTTTTAATTACTGCTAAAACCGAATACGTATATTAAAAGCATCTATATTAAAATCAGTTAACTTTTCATGCTGAGTAAATATAGTGTAAAAAATATTTTGTGTGTAATATTTCTGAAATCATTAAAATTTCCTAACAATAGACAAACAAAAAGGAAATCATTTCTTCATGGTATAGTCAAATTACCTGAAAATTGGTGAATGACCATTTTGTACATCTTTTTTTCGACTAAATGTGTTATCCAAAATATTTTTGTGCATATTTTTTTTACTGTAACACAAAATAACTTTTACTTGCCACAGAGAGTGGGAGNTGTGTATCAAAACAAACTAAAAAAATATTTATAGAAAAACAATACTTTTATTATTTTTATGCTAGTGAGAACCAAAACAATATGGAAAAGAATGAGGGAAAACTGGATCCTACCACGTGATTTCCCGGCCAATAAAAATGTAGCGTTAAACGTTTAACGCAACCTTCTTGGAAGTCGCATAAGAAGTATAACTTCAAAAAATTCCATCACTTTATGAAAATTCATACGTTGTTCAGATACTAAAGGACAAAAGTATTTTTGCTTCAACCTATAAAGATCAAAACAAGAGTCTATGCTGTCAACTGATCGAAAAGGGAATAGTGAAAAAATAACAAGAAAAAAGATCACGCACAGTCCTAAATGGTGACAAGGAGGAAAATAATTTTTTGTGGTTTACTGCCATATAATTAGGTGTGTGAATCTAGCAATCACTAGTTTCTGTGTTGCATCCAAAAGTTTGCCTATGGTAAGAAGCAATTATTTTACATTAGTCAGACAAACAGTTTTGTTAGCTTAACTGCCAAAAAAAGTAATGGCCGAAGCGATTTTGGCTAAATTCAGAGATCAGCAACTAAAAGTTTAAATTTCATCTCCTAGCATTAACCCATTTTAATAAATCGTTAGCTCACCAGAAATTTTTGTCAGCTGAACCACCAAAGAAAAGCTATGGCAAAAACAATGGTTGGCTAAATTATGAAACCGGCTTCGGAAAGTTCAAAAGTTTCGCCGTATTTTGGCTTTAAAATAGTTCAGGGAATATTAATTGATTTTAGAAAAAAAACATTTCAGCTGCACTAAAAGAGAAAATTTGTTTTATGCCATATAATATCTTCCTTTTCTTTTTGAATTACATAATGAAGGCGTAAAAATTTCATGCAAAATTCCATTATTCGATACAAAATATTTTTTTAACTTTCCTCCTTCTTACTGTATTTCTTATACCTGGAAATCATTTCTGAATCAGTGGTAATCAAATAAAAACAACCCAAAAACTTTTTCTTGCCCGATTTGTAAATCCAAACATATACCTATAATTCCCTTAATATGCGAAAAATTGTATTTAGAGGACTTTAACTTTAAAAAATACTTCAAAATTTCCCCATATTTTCAAGCCTTAAAATAAACTAATTTACAATTTTTAAAACAATTGACAAGTGGCACTTCATTAATAATGTAATTGTATAAATTTTATTCCTCTTCTACTTTCCATGACCTCTTTTATTTTGCTTTCATTGCCCCACTCCAGTTTTTCTCTTACATTAAATATAATTATACACCATTTATGATTTCTAGGATGGCACTAGTAAAAGAACCCAAGAGGAAATAAATCCGAGTAGTGGGATCCTGAAAAACGACACTATGCAAAATCTGGAAAATCCACAAAATCTGGAATCATTTGGAAGCTACGCAAAATCTGTTTTCGAAAAATCACTCATCACCAGTTTACCACAAATCGTCTCTTCGAAAACGTGGAAGAAAAAGTTGTGGAAGTCAGTTGTCTTTTTATTTAGCTTGGCTGCATTTCTCCACTTAACACAGGAATTCTTCGCGCATTATTGGACATACCCAACAGAATCTCACGTAGTAGAAAGCAGACCGGAGGAAATTGTTCTGCCTGCAGTAACGTTCTGCAGTAATAATCAGTAAGCATAAAAAATGAAAATTAGAAATTATTTTCGTAATTTAAACTTAGTGATACGTCTTGCTCGTATTTAAACTCATGATCATGTTTCTTCAAAACATCATAATTCTCTTACTAACAGTTTTAGCTTAATCCAATTACGAATACAAATAGAGATAAATTAAAAGAATTAAATTTACTTTTAGTGGTTTAGTTTAGTGGCATCTTTAATAACACTCGACTACCAAGTATTTTATAGGATTAAAATAAGACGAATAATCAAATGATTATAAGAAAAGTTATAAACTTAACAAAGTATAATGACAAAAAATATACGGATGTATTTCTGTCTGTCTGAAGGTTAAGCACTCTATCGTAGCGGGGAGTTGAAACAATTAATTAGAAAAGTGCTGCCGTTTTGCAACTCAATAAAAAACAATGAATGCCTTTTTGCAAGTTCAAGCTATAGATAAAAATTTCTATATATATTTTACTGAGCTTTAAAAATAGCTCAGAGAACTAATTTGCTTTAATCCTCCCAAAAAATGTTTATCACTTTAATTATATTTAGGTTCAGTGTTAAGATTCATTATTATCCATAATATTTTGAGATTTCGTATTTGTAAGAAATTAAGATGCATTAAAAAAATCCAATAAAAATACATTAATTTTATGGTATTAATAATGAAGTACTATAAATATTGAAAATGAATTCTTCATTTGAATACTAAGCAAGTTCATTATGGATAAAGATTATGCAAACTAGCTATAAGCTATATTTGAAATAATGAAGGGTAAAAATTGTGAATAAGCTACAAACTTTAAAAATATCTCTCTGAAAATATTTTTTTATCGGGAAACGGACGACATATTTCCTCCAAACTTTAATATAACATTTAAATGCGTGAATATCCTTTAAGTAGTTTTTTTTTATTTTTTATTCACGTCTTTTATTAGGAAAAATTTTATTGAGATTTCTTTCTTTTTAATTGTTTTCTGTATTCTTTTTAGTTTAAAAAGAATGAATTTAATTTGAAATTTAATTTATCAGTCACCAGATTTTTCTTTTTCCTTTATTATTAAAAATAATACAGTGAACTCACACTTATGCGCCGGTGTAAGGGGCCAAGAGAAAAAAGCGCATAAGTGAAAAACTTCAAAATTCTAAAACGCAACTTAAATTGCAGTGACAATATGAATAAATATGCTTCTAAAGATAAAATGTTAATATTTATACTGGTTTGGTATTTACTATAATTATACAAAGAGAAAAATTAACATAGCTTAAGACAATTTATTTTCTTACAAAATAATCTTAATACATGTTTGTATATGTTTTTGACGACGTATTTCAAAAACAGTTTTTTCAGTTCATATAAATGTGATAAGGGGGGAGTTTCAGAAGCAAAATTAAATTGTAAATAGTCACGAATAGTGTCTAAAGCTTCTAATACTGCTATGTGATTTGGAGGAACTTTATCATCCTCGTCAGTATCATCCACCTTGTTCTCGTCGTCCACAAGTTCTAGTTAGATATAAATGAACAGTTCTTCACAAATGGGGCTCTTTATGGGAGAGGGTGAAACATCACATGATAAATTTCTAAGAAAAGTACTTGACGTCATAATATGCTGCACAATAAGTTGAACCTACTCTTATTTACTCATGATGTCCATTTGACTGCAAGTAAGTGATTGCGGTCTCTTTCATCTTTCGTATTCCAGGTGTCTTCTTTTTCTAGAAAACAGCGTGGGAGTAAAACTAACCTCTGGACAAGAGGAATGGTCATTTTCTTAAGGATGAATGGGCTTTCATTGTTGTTGGTGCAACAGATAAGACACACTATTCAAAATTCTAGAAAGAATGTCCTTCCTTAAACAACAAGAATGAAAAGATCAGAGGGGGAAGAAAATTCAATGGGATATAACAACATATATTTCTTTTTATCAGTAACAAGGATTGTTTTTTTGCTTCATTTTTAATTTAAAGCATTTTTTTAGAAAAAGAAGAAAAATATTTAAAGGATAAAGAAATTAAAGTGCTAGCCTAGAATTTCGGCGCATAATTGAAAAATTTATTTTTAGAGCGACACATAAACGAAGGATGTTTACCATTATTTTCATACCTTATGTACTGGGACCTGTAAAAATCGTCATATAAATGAAAAAGGTGCATAAAAGAGGTGGTGCATAAGTGAGAGGTCACTGTAGTTAAATGATTTCAAACAAAATTTTCTTTAAATGATTTATTTAATATCAAATGAGCATAAAGAACTCTACAGAAAAGAAGTATTTTTCCAAGTTATGCAAAACAAAATCAATTCCCAACCACCTTAAAAAGAAGAAAAAAGTAATTAGCAGAGCACATTAAAGTTTCATTTATAGGAAGCAACAGCAAATTAAAAAAAATAATTATAATTTGAAAATGTGACATGCGCACTGTCAAAAAAATAATATAATAAGTAATATTCCTTCTCAATTAAAATAACCACCTTTACTACTTTCTGTTGGCATTTCTGTCGAGAAAAATTTTGTAAAATGTTCACTTTGATGTGTACGTACTGATTGTGATTATGATGCATCATCATTTTGTAAAAGGTTTCCAAAATATTGCCCACGTTAAATGGCTACACTTCAGTAAGTAAACATAAGCGTCCTTTTAAATGCAATATACTGTGGAAAAATAGAGAAAAATAAATTATATTCCATCTCTATTAAAATAACCACCCATGAAATTTTTTAAAAATATGTTCTGCTTTAAATAACGTATTTTCCTTTTTAAGTTTCAGTCGAGAAAAGTTTTGCAATATGTTCCCTTTTATGTGTACCGATTACAGTAATGATACAAAAGCATTTTGTGCGAAGTTTCCAAAATATTGCCAAGCGATGTATGGTTTAGCTTTCACACCCAATAAGAAAGTAAGTATTGTATTTGTCTGTTTCTTCGAAAATATAAATATACTTATAGTTTTATAATGTTTTACGCTTTGTAATTTTCTAAAATACATGCATCTCTTAAATATCTAAACATTAACGAGTGGTAGAACGGATAAACTAGATGGAGAATTGCAGAGCAACTCATACACGGAAATGTTATTATACGTTGCTAGAGGCATCTCCTCTTTAGGAAATGGTTGTTCTTGCAGATTTGAGACGGTAAATTTAATCTGTAAATAACATTAACTTCATGATAATTTTACATTCTCCAAAAATTATTGTCGAAAATCGTATTAAAATAGGCACTGATGACTATTTTATGAGTTGGCAAATAAATTGGCAAGCTATCTAAGTTAGAAATTTACGATGAAACTCCTATACCTGAACCTATTCAGTATGATGTTTGATCTAGAGAACGCAATATTATCACAAAATTAAGAAAATTTAACTATTAAATTTACCGTTCCAAATGCTTAAGAGTAACCAATAAAAATTAGGAAGTTCATTTAGTTGAGTATGGTGACGTTTTCAGACACGGCATAGTACTTCGTACTCCACTGCTTATTCTATCTCCATTTAATGTTGGTCCCAATATTTATGGCACGCCCTGTATAATTGAGGCTCGCACTCTGTCTTTCAATTTAAAATGAGGTTCATCAATTCATCAATGTACCAATGTATGTATCTATGTATCACAACATTATATTAGAAACATGTGAAAGTAATCAACTGTCTGAAAACTTAAAATATTTATATGCAGATTGTTCCATAAAAATCGCCTTTATATTTAAACCCTTATCAAAAACGAAAATTGAGAAAATCAAACATATTATGGGTGCAAACTAATATTTATGTGTGAAAAAAAAACAAGAAAGGTTTCAAAATTTCACAAGTTGAGTATAGTTTGTCTACGACAAGAACTCCCCCTCCACAAAGTCTGAGGCAGTTTGCTGCTATAGAAACAAGAATAACGCAATTCAGGGAGGGTAGCTTCTCTTCACTCTAGGATTTACACAATAGAGAGAAGAAAAAGATTACCCTTCTCTTGCTGATTCCAGCCAAAACACGTCCTAAACAGTGACCCCACACCCCTACTTGAAATTGTTGTATTTCGTTAATATAGTCACCGCCATAAGAGGTTTTATTTTTGACAAATTATAGATGTGTTAAAACTATAGATGTAGTATAGATGGCCGCCACGAATAGCTATGGGATTTCCTACTTTAGACAAACTATAGATGAGGGCGAATGTAATAAACATCAAAACAGTTTTATTTGGAGGACGAAACTTGGATGTTGGTCCAATAATCGTCTTTCAATTCTTCTCTGTTTTCTCCCGCAAACAAACCTGACTTGATATTATTACATACGCTGTTTATCACCGTGAATTACCAATTTCCTTACAGTTAAATGTCGCTTTTTTTTTTAACATTAGTTAGCAATTATGATCTGTAGATATCAACATTAAACACATATCTGTTGCTTAATGGCAAATAATGGACATTGGCTGGAAATAATCAAAGGTGAATTCTTTTTTCGCCACTAGATGGCGATCTAGGAAAATAGTTGTTTGAATAGTTGTTTGAAAATAGTTGTTTGAAAATAGTCTCCAAAGTAAGGTCAAAGGTTCAACCAGTTCTATTACGTAACAAGTTCTGCTTTGGGTTTGGTTAAAAGAGGGAAAATCTCCTCGCATGTTTCAAAACCTGTTTTTGTTTATATGCAGAGCAAAAAAAAGTGGACTTCATGAAGACTGTTTATGCTAATATCGTATCAAAATGAAAATTTGACGAGTTACTGATTATCAACTGAACGCTTGACACACGCGTTGCCTTTGATAAATATAATAAAATGAATAGTTAAAAAATGATTTCTGTTGATTAGTTCCTTCATGTTTAATTGAAAATACCCCTAAAAGCTACTGATACGTGTTAATGAAATAAAACAATCCGACTCTAAAATATGCATGTTTAAATTTTTTAATAAACGTATTTTCTGCATTTTATTCCACTCTATGAATATCAATTTAGAATGAAAACACGATGCTTAATTTTTGTTTCTTTTTTTCTTTAATTGATTTGTATTCTTTAAAATTAGAAAAAAAATTTCTAGCAGAAAAACCTAGAGAATTTTTTTTTTCATGTTTCTGAATAGGTTCCGGTAAGAGCGGCTTTCTTTGACAACTGGTTCTACCGTCAATGGAAAACAGCCTACTTATTGAATAATATGGATCTAGGAAGGTGCGATAAACATTACAGTCTTAATCAAGCCATCAATCTTAGGTGCAAGTAAGTTAACCTCAATCTGAAACTTTCGTTCATATTTAATTTAGAATACTACTGAAAACATATTTAAAGTAACATAGCATCTTTTGAAACTAAAAAGTTATCGGGAGCGCAAAAAACGATGTGAATGAAGCCCGAACAAAAGTAAAGGAATGTGCATACTATAGTTTTGGTTCTATATACAGAAGCCTTCCTCCTATGTTCGGTGCAAAAAAAATTTAAAAAAAAGAAATATATATGCTTCATTTTTAATTTAAAGCATNTATATATATATATATATATATATATATATATATATATATATATATATATATATATATATATATATATATATATATATATATATATATATATATATATATATATATATATATATATATATATATATATATATATATATATATATATATATATATATATATATATATATATATATATATATATATATATATATATATATATATATATATATATATATATATATATATATATATATATATATATATATATATATATATATATATATATATATATATATATATATATATATATATATATATATATATATATATATATATATATATATATATATATATATATATATATATATATATATATATATATATATATATATATATATATATATATATATATATATATATATATATATATATATATATATATATATATATATATATATATATATATATATATATATATATATATATATATATATATATATATATATATATATATATATATATATATATATATATATATATATATATATATATATATATATATATATATATATATATATATATATATATATATATATATATATATATATATATATATATATATATATATATATATATATATATATATATATATATATATATATATATATATATATATATATATATATATATATATATATATACCTAAGGCTTTAAATAATTTTTTTCTTTTTTGCAGCATGAAACATTCTCCACTACTGGTGAAAGGATATCCTCATTTTTGTAGAACAGTAGAACCTCTACTCGGGCAACCAGAATCCAAGGATGAAATGATCAATGAAACTTTTTGTAAGTACTTAAAAAAGGAATTAATTTTTCTTCTTCCACTCAATTATGTAGTAACATCAAAAATTGATTTTTCAAAACAGAACTTCTTCACCAAGTGTCTTAAGATAAATATTCGAGAAACTGAATATAATAAATCTATTCTTTCTCCAAAATCATGCCTGTCTTCTCCAAAATCAATGTTAGAAGCATAATTGGTATTAGTCAAGAGTGTATGCTTTTTATACATAAAATTCTTGTAATTTTTAAACTATTTTATTGAATTGATTTAAGATAAATTCGATATACTATAAAAAAATAAATAAGTAAATAAAATATTATAGAATACATAGTATAATTAAAATAAAATATAATAATAATGCAGTAAATTTATAAATTAAATAGATAAGTCGAAATAATCGTACCATACTTAACTTTCTAAGATAGAAATATTAATAAGTCTTTCTTTTGATGTAAAAGAAATGTATAGTAAAAATTCAAAAAATGCAGAAGTAATATACTTTAATTATAATAATAATATTTTAACTAAAAGGTAATACAGTAGGGAACCGATTATCCGGAACCATCGGGACCATCTCTATTCCGGATAACTGATTTTTCCGGTTTTCTGAATCGCTACAAAAAGCCGTTTTTTTTATTGTTAAACCCAACTAAAAGAAATTTTTCTTGGAAATAATCTTAAGAAGAAGAAAAAACGATGGAGTAACACACTAATGATTATTTCCAAAATGATGGTAAGGTAAACATCTTTCAAAAAAGAAAGAAAAATCCTAAAATCTTATGAGGAAAAAAAAATTTTTTTTTTTAAAAATGGCGGGAAAATTTATCGAATTTCATTCCGGTTTTTTGGTTTTCCAGTTTTCTGATTTCCGGATAACGGGTTCTGTACTGTAATTGCATTGTGTACTTATAAGTATTAAACGAAAAAGTGTATTCTTTATAAAGGCAATTCTTATGCAGTTTGCATTATTTATCTTTCAGACGGTGATTTGTTACATTCGAACTCAAGCACATAGTAAATAATTCTTTCTTAGTATATAAATGAAAAAGTTTAATATTCTCCCAGCTTCAGCTCTTTTTCCATCAGTGAACTGAAAAGCACGGCTTAACACTCAATTCGAGGTTCGGGTGATCAGCAGATATAAATATTTGGTAAAAGGAAATCTTTTAAAACAGTTTTCATTAATTTTTTCTGACTTTCGATTGATAATCAGCCGATATATATGTATACACATGTGCTTTCCAAAAGGCTGTTGTTACTTATGCCACTTAACAATATCAACCAGCCTGCTTGAAACCAAGCGAATTTTTTTAGACAAATGATGCTCTTCTTGTTCATTAGTGGCGCCATCTATGGTCAAGAATACGACTTCGGCCTCACACACGTCACTACTCGTTTCACAGGAAGGATCCATTCATACTTCATTCATCTATCAGCAGATCGTAATCATGACTTCAATCACGGAATGATCAATCTCCAATATAGTACCCCCAGTAGTCCAGGTATTAATTTGTTTTGGGAACTTGGAGAACTTTATGACCCCGATAAAGGGGGATTTGAACACGTGATCTCACGAGGACGAGTCCAGTGTCTTACAAACCAGGCTATCTTAGGCAGATAGAATGAATTTGCTTTAAAATGAACTTTTAAAATATACTTTAAGATAGGTCCCTGAAAGACATTATAACTTAGAATAATTTTTAATGAGATTAAAATTAGATTTTTTTTCATTTGCAGATTATGCGTTTGATTTTCTGAACCATCCAGAGGATTATTTTAGGCATTCAGATCCGCATTTACTTTACGTAGTGGTTCACAATCGCAGGCATTTAGTGAATCCATACAAGAAGGGAATTATTTTAAAAGTTGGACACCAGTACGCTCTTCGAGTATCTATGGTAAGAATTTGTTATATATATATATATATTTATATATATATATATAAAATTATAATCTCAATCACTGCAAGTTAACCATTGAAATTACTATGAGCCTAAAATAAGAATTTATTTACAAAAGTAGATTTTATTATTCTGAGAAAAATTTTGCAGATTTTTTAAAATTTTTTTATGTGCCAAATATAGAAGTCTCAGAATTGGACTGTTCGGCAACATATGAACCNTTTTTTTTTAAGATATCAAAAATTATATTTTTTTAAATACTTTTGAAAAATTATTTTTAATAATTAACACTGTGAAAACTGTAACGTTATACATGTATCGTCTGAATGTGCTTTTGAACAACCTAAAAATTATGTGAATGAATATTTTATTTCGGGTTGACATCAAATCGAGCTTTCATATACAGTGTAAAGTGTAATTAAATTCTAAACACTTAATTTTAAAAAATCTTACACAAAACTCTCGCGCTTTCACACCATACCGGAATTATTTTCACTACCGAACAACACTATTGTTGGCGTGCTTTGAACATCAAAAGTACAAAACACGCTAGGTAGAATATCGACGATAATTTTTTTTCTCTTTGCATTCTAGAATGAGCTGTTAATAGTTTATTGTTACCTTTTTATGCTGATATTCTTACACAGAAACAGAAAACCGCCGTTAAAATATGTATGTGTGATTTTAGTTATGTAATAGAAATAATTATATTTTTATTTAAATATCTCTGAGAAATTTATTAAATGATATTATGGTGTATGATTTCTATACGTACCCGTTCTGTTAAGCCTAGTTCGAATTCGTCTATATATACCCCGCGTGCTGCGCGTATATTTGATTTACAAACTAATTTTATTTTATAAATTAGTTCATAAATACCTTCTAAATGAACGATTCTCACTTTATACTGTATGGTAAAATTATTTTACTATCTGTTCTGTGTATTATATATAAAATTTAGTGTGATTGAAGGTGGTGGCTACTTTACACCAAGTAGTTTAAAAGGACATCGCCTTAGAGAAACACTAGATCGAAGAATTATATAAGGGCCCTCCAATATGCACCACAGTGCAAATTAAGCCTAAATTCAGTGTTGCTAAGTAAAAAAAAATTTTGACTACTCATTGTTTTTAAAATCACAACTCAACTTTTAATTTTTGCCTCAAAGCGTTTAATTGCATACACAATAAATGCTTTGCACATCGCCAAACGCATCGCGCATACATTAATTAGTAAGTTATACCAAAAGTACTTGTAACTGAAACTATGGATGAATATTTAATTTTTGTATGTAATTGCATAAATTGACATAATATAGACTAATTTGTCTCGCATTTTGCGGTGTTATAGAGGTGGAGGGGAATTATAGGGGTTAATTCTCTAGTACATACGTATACGTATGTTTGTTAGTAGACAAATAGATTGCACAGTCTAAGCACACACTTCAACTTTATCTGTTAAATAATTACAATCTATTTTTTTTTTCAAAGCATTTAGTTCTCACACATTTTTAAATATAGATTATTTTACTTTATGTTTTTATTATGCAAATAAAAAGTCTAGACTTACATTTAATGGTATTTTTTTTATATATTACTTTATGTATGCCATTTAATTTATTCTAAATTGCAAAAATATTTATTGTATGGGAAAAAGTGCAAAAAATTTATTATATTATTTTTTTTCTTCACAGAATGAAATTGAAAGGCTCCCTTATCCTTATGATACGAACTGCACTGATTATTTAGCTGCATGGAGGAGAAACAATGGCACCGGTCCTCTGAATCAAGATGTAAGATAATTATTGCTATTAAAGCATCCGACTAGTTTCGACTTTTTTTTTTATTATTAAGAAAAAAATTTTAAAAACTAGTTCATGTATATTAATTTATATACGAACTATTATGAGACTAGCAAAAAAATTATTATTAATTTATTATTTTCTTTTAATGGTCATTTTTGGGTACAAATAAGACATTTTTTACATATATCCTAAACACTGTAAAAAAGAATTCTATCACCTAAAACGAAAAATCATTTGATGATTATATCTAGAAATCTATGAACTATGCTTTGAACTATCATTTGAACAGCAAGTCCATGTACTACTGAGTTAAGGATCTATGTAATGAAAAAAATCAATTTTTTTAAAATTTCCGCTCTTGTCTTTGCGAAAAAACCTTAAAAAAGATATTCTACTTTTTTCTCTGAGTCTGTAGTTCAAAGCATGTGTGGTAAAATAAAATGTGTAGGCTATTATTTTAAAAACCACATGAGATATTGTGTTTAATGTGGTATAAAATGTGGTAAAAAGTCTGATTTTAGGATAAACGCATTTAAGGATTTAAAATCACTAGTCTAGCTATTATTATCACTTTGCACAAAAACTACTATAACTTTGCAAATAATTGGAGTACAAACAAAAGTAAAGTATTTTTAAAAAAGTAAGAGCTTAGGGTTTCAAAATTTATAGTAAACTCAATTTCGAAAATTTTGTTCAAAATCAGGTTTTTGCACTAGCCAAATACCTTAAAGCAGTGTTTCCCAAAGTGTGGTACGCGTACCCCCAGGGGTGCGGGAGCAGTTTAGCTGGGGTACGCGTACTTTTGCGAAATATCTTGCAACAAACGAAAATTTAAAAAATTATTATTTACGAACAAAGCTAGCCATGAAAATTTACGACTATGTATTTTTCTATTGACTATTTTTACAGAGTTAACAGTTAATAATTAGTGGTGTCAACAGCCAGTTGTGATTTTTAGCTTTTGTGCAATTTTTTATAGTAAAAAAATAGATTATTTTTTTTATTTGTGGTACACAGCATGACGAAAAATTTAGAAAGGGTACACAAAAGTCATAAGTTTGGGAAACACTGCCTTAAAGCATGAATTAAGTCAATTATGTAATCTTCCCTGTATTTCTAATTGGTTATGTTTTTCGCAAGAGTAAAGTGAGACAAATTAAATGCATAACTATCAAAAAGACGAATAGATTTTTCTTTTGCAAGTCACATTGAACATCGCTGCCTTGGAATACGAATCTTTATAATGAATCTGTTTCTAATGATGTGATATGTGATAATGATATAATTATGGTATAAAGATATAATAATTATGATATAATTATATAATAATTATGATATAATGATATAATAATTATGACATAATGATATAATAATTATGATATAATGATATAATAATTATGATATAATAATTATGATATAATGATATTATAATTATGATATAATGATATAATAATTATGATATAACGATATAATAATTATGATATGATAATTATGATATAATAATTATGATATAATGATGTAATAATTTTGATATATTGATATCCTTATCACATTATCACATCTCAATAGATGCTCCTTTTGGGAGGGGATTAATATTAGAAGTTCATTCATCATTAGAAGCAGATTCCTCATGAAGATTCGTATACCAAGGCAGTTATTTTCAATGTTCAATGTATCTATTTATATGTGATCATGATATAATTATGTAAAGAAATAATAATTATGATATAATGATATAATAATTATGATATAACGATATAATAATTATGATATAATGATGTAATAATTTTGATATATTGATATCCTTATCACATTATCACATGTCAATAGATGCTTCTTTTGGGAGGGGATTAATATTAGAAGTTCATTCATCATTAGAAGCAGATTCATCATGAAGATTCGTATACCAAGGCAGTTATTTTCAATGTTTAATGTATCTATTGATATGTGATCATGATATAATTATGTAAAGATATAATAATTATGATATAATGATATAATAATCATAATATAAGGATATGATAATTATGATATAATGGTATAATAATTATGATATAATGATATAATAGTTATGATATAATGATATGATCAACATGATATAATGATATGATATGATATGATATGATATAATGATGATATGATATGATATGATATAATGATGATATGATATGATATAATATATGATAAGCGTTATTATATGTCTTCAGAATTCATATCAAAAATGAAGGAAAAAGTATGAATATTTGTAGTTACTAAGTAATAATTAAACAGGGAAATGATAAAGGCTCCAGGAAATCATAACGAGCCAATACCAAGTAAGACGGGTTGAAAACTATTTGCTTGTCGAAATAAATAAAGGAGGAATTGAAAGGCAATTGTTGTAACACCAAGTTTCATTACCAAATTTTGTCACAGAATAATTCTCCTTCTATTATTTGTTACTGTGCCTCTCTCAAAGGTTTCTTTAGTATTATTTTCCTTTTTCTGTATTTGATACCACTATGCCGAATTTCTTATTTCAGTTTTCAGATGAATTCTTAAAATATATATTATAGGCGGTTATTACGAAATACTTCGCATTTAAGATTCCTCAGATTTTTTTTTATAACATAATCATTTCAATACTTTATTATATTTTTTGTTGTAACATTAAGATATGAGAACAAAATATGTGAAGATAAGATATAATAAGATAATATAAAAGCATTAATAAGATCCTGTAGTTGAATCTAAAAAAAACTTTTTAAAATTGTTTCTTCTATATAGATTTCAAAAAAATACTGCTAAGCAATAAATTTGTCTTTCTCTTTCATGATAAAGGCTTCAGGATTATAAATCACATTTAATAATTTTTCAAAACACTAAAGTAATACAAAATATGTAAGACCCAGTTTATATATGAATTTTGCTAATTAAAAAGCTTTAAGTACTTTAAAATTTTCAAAAGTCAATATTTTTTGATAATGTTTATTTAATATAAAAAATTTTCTGTGTGTCTATGTCATTTCGGCTAAAATGTTGGGAAAGATATTTTTGCACTCCCCCCTTGATTTGAATACAACCTATATTTATATTTTTTTCAATTTCATATTTGAAAATATGTTTGAAATACACTTAGAATGCATCTATTATTTTGATTCTGAATTGTTGTGAAAATATTGTATTAATCTTTGTCTTAAATGTTGTATTAATCTTTGTGCAAAAAAGTTTTAAAAACGGTGCACAAGATGCTTAATTTTAGTCGTTGTTAAAAGCTAACTCAGATGATAGTTTATTTCTTCAATTTTATTTCAGAGTTGCATTGAGTATTGCAAATTCAGAAAGCTTGTGTCAGAGGGCAAATGTATTGACGAATTCACTTCTTATGAACCTCATTTGGAAAATCTCTGTGGAAAAAGTAACACTATTTCATAGAAAAATAATAAGTTATGTCATAACAAAAATATTACACACAGAGTGGGAGAAAAATTGGTTCGGAACGCATCAAAGAACGACTTTCGAGCTAATTTATTTTACATGTTAATGTTAATCAATGATAATATTTCTAATCATTCAATGTTATTATTTCCTATTTTTTCATTTTTGAAGAAGGCATGCTTTTGAAAAAGTCAAACATTTGAAGGTGCTAGTTTTGAGTTCAATTCGTTATTCGTGTTTATATGATTTAAATTTCCATTTTATATCTCTATGAATTTCCATCATTATATTTTATGTTCTGGAAGGACCGTGTTGATTCAACGGCTTAAATCACTCAACCTCAATCAACCTCACTCAACCAACTCAAAGCAATAACCTTATAACAGCTCTTGATTTTAAGCGAATTTGTAAATCTACAGTACAACAGGCTTGGAAAGAACATTAGAATTATGGCGGAGGCTTGTTTCTCCGTCAGTAGCCGCCAATATTCGTATAGTGGAACATAACTTTATACAGTCTCCTGGAAAGAACATACAAATTGTTTAATGAAATTTAGATTTTATTTAGCATAATTGGTGATATAGAGAATGGCCATTTCTTCATTCAAACAAAAAGAAATCCCTCAAAAGAAATCCCTCATGGGTAGAAGATCCAAAATTGGCGAATTTATCAAAATATAACATAGCCAAAACAAAGCCAACCAGCATATCAATATTGGGTTTAAAAGAACACCTTGGCAATCACGAGTCGCCAGCAAATTTATGAGAATTATTACAACCATGCAACCGAAACATTTAGCGGTTAGAAATTTAGAATAAAAACTTATAAATAGATTTTTGTTTTCGATTAGAGGCGACAGTGAATTAATAAGTCTGCATTAGTAATAAATAAAAAGTATCCGTTACATTGATCTATAAGAGAAGAATAAATATTTTCTTCTCATTTTATTTTAAATGAAATTCTATTAATAAAAATAAGCTTAAGTAATGAAAGATATTTTAAAAGGATAGAAAACAAATAATGACAATTGTAGCATCACAGGAATAAACAAATTAATAATAAACTGCATGATATTTATCCTAATCTTGACAACTTTAAAGCAATTCATGTCGATCGCAAAACCCAGGTTATAATCTATAGACTGTGCATTGGTCATTCCCGTTTTACCCACATGCACTTACTAAAATATGAACCAGTAACTAGTTGTTTTTTTATGTCGTGTTAACATTACTATTGAACATATTTTAAAAGACTTCAAACTATTCAAACACTTGAGGAATAAACTTTTTGGCAGCTTTTATACTGGTTTTCAATTTTTGGCTTGGACACACTATACGTCACAATCTTTTAAAGTTTATCAACACTATAGGACTTTATTCTCTACTTTAAGAAAAGATATATCAGTTTTACCTAAAGACCAATTTTAACCTACTGATTGGCTCAGTATAGCCATTTCTGGCTCTTGTGTCAATAAACTCCAACCTACCAACAATTTTATTCATTTGAGTTTTACACTTCAACCTTCTATTTTATTTTCACTTTATTTGTTACTATTTAATTTACCATAAATAGCTTATAGAGTAAAAGAAAAGAATCGATATTATTACTAGAAAATCAGTCATTGTATCTCGCAGTTTATTAAACATGAGGAGCATGCGTCTTCATATATTTTGAAAAGTTGTCCTAATTTCACAGCTCAATACAACAAAAAATTCTTCGTAATTTAATACTAAAATCTTAACTTCCTAATTAACTTCCTTAATAACTTCCTAAAATTAACGAGGTTTCTCAAGAATTGTTGTAAATTCATTAGAACAAAACTTGAATTTGCATTTCATAAAATCTGAAATAAATATTTTTATTTTAAAATATAATGGGTAATATTTGAATTGTATATAAGGTATAATCTCATGAGAGATACTGCCAACCTACATAGTAGTAAGGTAAAGGCATGAATCATTACGCACTCCTTAACTGAAAAAAATGGTGTTGTAAATTAAATATGTTTTTCAACTGCTCTGTTACCACACGTATCAGAACTTTTTTGTGAACTCATTTTTTAAAAAAAATATACTCTTTTTTGAAGTGTTTTGAGTTTGCGAAAGTTATTCGTGACAGTTTAACCTATCTTTAGCCAGCTCAGTGTATGTTAATCCGGAAAATGACGCAAAACTTCAATATGAAGAAAAGCTACACTGTAAAACGTTTCTGATCAAATTACATTATAAAGAACCGGTACATTGGCTGCATCATCCGTAAAATCGATTTTAAAGTAAAATCTATTCTTACTGTAAATTACAGTAATTTTTATACTAATATTTATTTAATTATGGTGATTAATTGATTTTACCATAATAATTATTTTGAAAATCTTTTAAAAAATGGAGCTTATCTGGCAGAACTTGTTGTTTAAATTAAAAAATACACTACCTTTTATTTGCTGTCGTTTAGATTATGACTTAATTTACTTACTTACACATTATTCTTTACCTAATCGGAATTTACCTTACAGAATGCTGCCTGTTCCTTTTTTATAAATTCTCCACTTTTGTTCAAAATTGTCACGTTATTATAGGATTTTCATACTTCATTGCAATTTTTTTAAAATTTTGTATTCAAAATTACCCTAACCCCTTTCTCAGTAAATAAAACTCTTAAGCAACTTTTATTCAAACTTACAAAAAAAGAAAACCTAAATATTAGTCTGTTTTTTTCTCAATAAATGTAACGACTAACGTTTTATTTCAATATAAGTGTGAAACGAATTATTATTTAATGCTACGTCATAGGGGATATCACAAAATCTATTTTTAATATTTCTTTCTTCAGTCGCTTTATACAGGGTGATTCTAAAAAGATGGGCAAAATTTTAGGATGTGATAGTACACACTCAAGCAAACAATTTTGATCAAGGAATGCATGGTCGAAAACAAAACGCAAAGGTGCTGGCGCATTTGGAAAGTTGTTTGATGCAAACGTGAAAGCTCCATTCCTGTTGCGAGTTACTGCGCCGCGTTACTCGTCGCCAAGCTTCCGGCTGCTGCAGTGAAAGTTCGTGATATGCCTGGTGTGTTTCAGAATGTCCGCCTTTCTTTTTTTCGCCGTTGCACAGCGTGCATAGCCGCTGCCGGCCACTGTTTTGAACACTTAATGTAATCACATGCCATGAAATTTGCTTTTATAACTTAACTTCATCGTTCTTTGTGTGTTTTTGCCTCATATAAGAACATAAACTTTGACGCCCTCTAGCGGTTTTGCGTCTTGTTTTCGACCTTGCATTCTTCGTTAAAAATTGTTTGCTTGGGTGCGTACTATCGCTTCCTAAAATTTTGACCATCTTTTTAGAATCACCCTGTATATTAGCATAAAAAATGTGTGGTGTAATCCTTTAATTTGGTATAATTTTTTAATTTTCTTTGAGTTAAATTATTTGGTAAATTATTTAAATATTAACTTTCGATATCATTGATTTGGCTAAATTGGCTTTACTTTTGGCAATATTCACTTTCATCAAAGTGCCAATAAAGGATTATGAAGCGTCTGCAAAGAATGACTTCTTAATTGGCAATTTATCTGACAAGTAAAGGAGGTTAATGACTCCCGTGGACAGTTTGGAATAAAATTTATAAGAAAAGTATTTTGAAGCAAACTATGATCTATCTGAATATCTTCTTTCATTCCTTTATCGTCTGCTCTTGTAGCTTTTTATAATGTTCATTTTTGTGAGTTTATATGAGTTTCTTCCTAGACATTAATAAAACACATATAAATGTAGGGCTACGTAAAAAATTTCATAAAAATGGATTTTCGATTAAAAAGAAAACGTAAAATTTTGTGACTTATGTATGTTTATCGGCATTATTATCGAAGGTACGATAAGATGCTTTATGCCTGTATTAACCATCATTTACACTTGAAAGTCGCTGCAATATCAGGCACTATTGTCATTACTATATCAGTTTCCATTGTCACCACTATCTCAGTCATTATAGCCACATATAAAACACGTTCCACTGCAAATGTTACAATTTTTTCGTCTAAATGACTTATGGCCACTTCTGGAATTATGTAGTATTTATGCAAATATTAAATTCAGACTTATAATTAAATCTTTTCTTAAACACTGCAATGAGTTAATTCTTTAAAATTATTTTAAAGATAATTAAATGTATGGATAATTAAAAAAATCGAATGCCACGGAAATGCATTATTAGTATTACATGCTGCACAATTTATTTACTAACTTAGATAATAAATTTATTTTAGACGTTTTCTTATTAGATATAAAAACTACTACTCACGCCATGACAAAAGAATGTGTTAAAGAATGCCAGCCAGCATGCCTGTAAGTAAATTAACAACTCTTATAGCATCTTTGTAACAAAAACAATTCATTTTCTAAGTTTTTTTTTCTAATAAAGAATAAATTCACACTGAATTACTGATATAATGAGTTAGGTAATTAAATTTTAAATAATTATGATGAGAGAATTTTTATCAATTTATTGATAAAAATAACAATACAAGTAATGGGATTGAAGTAACTTGAAAATGAGCCACACTTTTGAAGGGACAGTCTTAAATCGAAATTTGTCTTAGTATTTTACCCAGGAAAATACTTTGCAGTTTTCTGGAATATTCACAAGAAAAATACATTTATTTCGTTTTATCATGCTTTTGAAATAGTGAAATGTTTGATCGAAAACGCACTTAAATAAATGTCGATCTGGTAAATTAAAAAAATAATCCTAAATGAGTATGTAAATCCTTCGCGTATCGGATTTTTATCGACATGCATATGCGTCTTCAAATTTAGTGCATTCATCAAATATAATAGCAAGCTGTTTACTTTATAAAATAACAAAACCCTCACAATTAAGCAAAATAAATACGTATATTACATCGAATTTCAATCTTTCAGGACTTTCCCATGACTGTGCATTTCTTATTTTTATTAGTAAAATGCATGCAAGAATTAGCACTATATAATGCGAAAATATATTTTAAAATTCTATAAAACCACTAATATCATATATATTTTGTCACCACTTTAGAAAAAAGTCTCTGACTAACCATAGATCAGTAGACATGAGAAAAAGATATATTAGTTGTGATGGGTAAGATATATAAAGCTGTATATTGTTAAAGTTGAGAAAAATGAAGCAAAATAAATACGTATATTACATCGAGTTTCAATTTCCAGCTACCACGATACTTCCAGGACTGTGCATTTCTTATTTTTCATTAGTACAATGTATGCAAGAATTAGCACAATATAATGCGAAAATATATTTTAAAATTCTATGAAACCACTAATATCATATATATTTTGTCACCACTTTAGAAAAAAGTCTCTAACTAACCATAGATTACTAGACATGAGAAAAAGATATGTTAGTTGTGATGGGTAAGATATATAAAGCTGTATATTGTTAAAGTTGAGAAAAATTAAGCAAAATAAATGCGTATATTACATCGAGTTTCAATTTCCAGCTACCACGATACTTCCAGGACTGTGCATTTCTTATTTCTCATTAGTACAATGTATGCAAGAATTAGCACAATATGATGCGTAAATATTTTAAAATTTTAAAAACCACGAATATCCCTTGTATTTTGTCACCAATTTAGAAAAAGTCTCTAACTAACCATAGATTACTAGACATGAGAAAAAGATATATTAGTTATGATGGGAAAGATATATGCATATTGTTCAAATTGAGCAAATAAAGTAAATTACATCGAATTACAATTTCCATCTTCTAGATACATCAGTTATAATGAGAAAGATATATTAAGTGGGATATTATTCAAGTTGACTCAAGGATCTTTAATAATTATCGTAACATCTAAATATACCCGAGCAACATTTAACTTTGGATCATCTTTATCCTTCTGGACATTGAAGACAAACGATTTTCTTTCAGAAATTTATTTATTTATTTATTATTAAGCAAAGCTAATTTTTATTGTTATTACTATTATTATGAAACCAATTAAGGATAATTATTTGTGCATTATTAAGGCAGGTAAAGTTTGTTCAAATACATAATTTAAGTTAAAAATACACATGCTTAAAGCATTCGTGTTAAAAGGAAAAGAGCCCTGTTATTTTAAAACAAAGTGAGTGTAGAAAATACAACGAATTTAAATACAACGGATTTAAGTCTCGACAAAATACACACAAAAATGTCATTCTGCTGTGTTTTTATCTCCTACTGTAGAGACAAATTTATCACAATTAAAAAGGAAAAACAAAGAAAACTGTAATTTTGTTACAGTACTTTTGTCGACTAATGGCTCTTTGCTCTCTCTATCTCTACCCAATTATCTTATACGCTGAATTTAAGATGTTTTGATAAATTGATTTGAAAAGATTAAATAATTATTTTAAATTAGTAAAAATTAATTATTTCATTTCAGAGAACAGAATTACGAGGTTGATAAGGAAGTGTCCGAACTATTCGCAGAGGGATCTATGGTATGATATTTTGTAATACTGTAAGAATAATTATGATTTGTTGAGCAGTGTCGTTTACTATCCATTTTTAAAATCTGAAAAATAGAAATAAATACAAATTATTAAAAAAAATAAAATAAGTTTTTTCAAGAGTTCTAAAAATAAGAATATTTTTTTATGGAACCTAAAGAAAATCGAAGCTCATCACTTTTTTTTAATGTTTTTCGCTTAGTGGGTGATAAATTTAAAATTATTTTTTCATTTTTAGTAGGCATGTAAGAGGTGCGTCTTAAGGTCACAGTTGATCCGTTGTTAGGACCTTTTTATTAGCTTCTAATAATTTTTCAAACTTGTCGTAATAAGTTTTTATTCACCCGGTAATCAAATATTTATTTAATAATTGGATTATTATTATATAATATTATTGAAGCAAAATGTCAATAAAAAATGAAAATTCAAATTTTAAAATGCATATTTATATTTTTTTCCAACAACAATATATTAAATAAATCATTAAAAGTATAGATATTTAAAAACTATTGTATTAGTATTTCTCATCGAACAGTGTGGGTTCCGCCGAAAGTTTTGAGTTTTTTTTTCTGATTTAAATTGCAACATATTTAAGCTTGCAACGGTTAGATTATGGCGGAAGTTGGTTCTCCGTCAGTGACCGCCAATATTCGTATAGTTGAAAATAACTTTATACAGTCTCCGGGGAAGAATATACAAATTGTTTAGTGAAATTTAGATTTTATTAAGCATAATTGGTGATATAGAGAATGGCCATTTCTTCATCCAAAAAAAAACTTAGCGGTTAGAAATTNTTGAGACTGGGGAGGCCCGTAAGGGCACTCCCAGTCTCCACAAATTTGAAATTAAAAGTGAATATAATCATTTCTAACGGACACTGAAAGTATGGGTAGGAGATCAAAAATTGGCGGTTTATCAAAATATAACATAGCCAAAACAAAGCCAGCCAGCATAACAATATTGGGTTTAAAAGAACAGCTTGGCGATCACGAGTCGCCAAATTTATGAGAATTATTGCAGCCATGCAACCGAAAAATTTAGCGGTTAGAAATTAGAATAAAAAGTTATGAATAGATTTTTGTTTTCGATTAGAGGCGACGGTGAATTAATAAGTCTGCATTAGTAATGAAATAAAAAGTATCCGTAACATTGATGTATAAGAGAATAATAAATATTTTCTGCTCGTTTCAAAAAATTACGTCTTTGGTTTATTTTAAATATAATTCTATTAATAAAGAAAGCTTACGTAATGAAAGATATTTTAAAAGGATAGAAAATAAATAGTATGTAATGCCAATTGTAACATCACAGAGATAATAGTTAAAGCTTATATTTTTATCAAGCTTAAGGATCCAGCTGAAATTTGGGCCTTCAAAAATGTTCTTTATTTTGATTGCTAATGTATTCCATTAGAGAATAAAATGACATTGAACTCAATTTTTGGTGGCCAGAAAAAAAAACTCGACAGGTGCTTATGTCTAATATTAACCTTTCAATAGTTATGATAATTTAAGTTTTAAATATACTCTTTTTAATACATGTGATATATAAACATCCTTCATTACTTGAAAAATGTATGTTGGTTCTCATTCACAAAGAGCAGTTACACCTGTGCGAAGCTGGATTTTTGCAGTTTCTATTCTACTGAGCAATTATAGCTCTAAAATAAATATCGAATAAGAAATGCAAGTAACTCTATTTCCTTATTCAAGTTTCGTGGTGGCTCAGGTGACCCAGGTTGTAGAGCTTAGTCTGATACTCCCGTGGTTGATTATAGGATAGAGCGTTTGCCTTCCAATGAGGTGAACGGATTCGAATACCAGTGATAGCCGGTCCTTTCTCGCTTTCGACACACCGATGTTGGCCGCAGTTTGGATATCGTAAGCAAATTGTTTGCAAACAAGAACTAGTCGGCTTGAGTGTGTGGTTGCCTTCTACATTCTACAAAAACTAAAGTTCGTTTTGTAACTTGTATTTATATTTATATTAAGTAAGGAATTCCCAATTTTAAAGCAATTAAAAATAATAATACTTCCAATGGAAAAACGAGCTTAGCAGCAGTAAATCCAAAAGGAATTGAAACAAATGAGACAATAAAAATATTTAAAAAAATTGGGTAAATATGACAACCAAAGCTGACGTCTTCAGGGGGTACCAGCTCCGGAAATCATAAAAGCAAAACCTTTTCTGTTGAGAGATCAAGACAAAAGTCCAAAATTGCTCTCTCTGTACTCCAAAGGTTTTGTCAAAGTCCAGGAAAAGAATATAATACATAATATACAATATAAAATACATAAAACAAATACAGAAGAATAAAAACAAGACAAATACCTCAGAATAGTATGAACAAAAGCTTACTTGAAATAAAAATTCAATAACTAGATAGCACAACTGACTGCGAGACACAACTAAAATAAAATAAACATAAAAACAACGCCTCCTAACCTGCGCAGTATAAAGGGAAAAAAAGGACAGAAGTTAAGAAAGTAGTGACGTTATTTATAGAAAAGCTTGACCGGGGAAACTTGATCAAGACTTGGATTTTGCTTAACTAAATGAAATAACTATTAATTCTTAATTTCAAATCACTTTGAACTGTTATTAAATGATTTTAAAATGTGAAATTTATATCCACTTCGGTTTTGTTAAGCTTTATATATAT